TCAGTGGACTTTGAAGCATGTTATCTCCAATGATGTGGACAAGTGTCTTCCAATGCAAAGGCAGTTCCCAAAGAAAAGGACATCCGGAGTTTGGATTTGGACTGCAACATCAACTGTATCCAACATTTCCAGCCTGCCGTCCTGACCTGAAGGGTTTTGACTTGCCAATCCTTCCCCCCCACATGAGCTAATTTCTCTAAAGTAACCCACCTTCTCAATCTACACACACACACACACACACACACACCACACCACACACACACACACACACACACATACACACACACACACACTCACACCATTGTCTCTTTTCCTGGAGAACTCTGACTGACATGGACTAGTGTCTTTTTAGGAGTGCAGAGCTGAGGCAAAGAGAACGTGAGCTGGTACTAGAGAGGTATGTCCAAACTGGGGTGACTGGGTGGCTGTGTCATAGAAGGTCCACGTAGGAAATGGGGGATCACCTTGGGCAGATGGCTGTGTCCACTGTATGGAAGGTAGTAGACACAAGAACGAGGCTTCTAGACTTTGCTTTAGGAAGTAAAAGTCAGTATACAACAGAATCCACTACCCACCTAAGGCCACCAACACCCCGCTTTCTGCAGGAAATCACTAGTCCAAGGTGAGATCCATGAACAAAGAGAACAGCCAAAGGTAGCTGGAGGGAACCCGCGAAGGAAGGTGTACTAGGAAACAAGGGCTAGTTTCAGATAGCCTTGCCTATGTTCCAGACCTCCGAGAAGGTGGCGGCTTCAGCCTGGAGCACAACACCATCCCTGACTGATCTACTTACACTACAGGGTGAGATTCAGCCTGGCCCCAGAGCTCACCTCCAGCCTCACCTCAGCTGTCCACATGGCTCACAGCTGTCTGACCCGGGTCATCCTCCCCCACCCTGTTCACTTGGTGGTCACCAGGCCTGCTCTAAGGGTCCTTCTGGGGTCAGTGTTTCTCCTCAGGGCTCTGTGTAGTGCGAGCCTGCTGGACAGAGGCCCATTTTCCTGCTGTCTTGCCATTGCCCGTGGAGCTTCCAGAGGGCATGAACTGTTTTTGTAATCACCACTGAGAGGTCTAGCCCACGTCTCACCTGGTGCCACGATGGTCTGGAGGTGTGGGTGGAATGGGTGAAATTCTTCTTTCCGCTTGCCCTCTAAAGTTGCTTTGCTTTCTCTCCAGGGGCAGGGCCTGGAATGGTCGGAATGTGGCCTTGGTTTGCCTTTGGGGGTGTTGGCGCCCTTGTGATTTCTGGTCTTGGGGGATGGCAGTTCTTGCCTCCCCTCTGGAGGCCGTGGATCTGGAACCGCTCCCATGGCTTTCCTCTTCATTCTCCCTCACCCTCTTTCCTCACGGAACTTCCCTCTAGACTCACGGTCCAGAACCATCAGGTACCAGTGTACGAAGCTTCTGACCACACCCTCTGTAGCTAATGTGGCAGAATATGAGTCACGTCAGTTCTTTCTTCTCTGAACCCCAACTAGGAAGGAGAGATTTTCACCTTTGAGCAATGTCCTCCTGGGAGCCAAAGTTCCCAGACTGACATGCTGCCAGGTTGGTTTCCTTGATCTTCTGCCTCTCAAACCTCTTCCCAAGGTGAGGGCGTCTGAGTTCTTGTCTGTTTTATTGCAGGGAGAGAGGGACCGCACCACAAGGTGTTCACTGCGTAGCCTTTTCAAATGCTGAGACTGTTCTTCTTTCTCTACTGTGATGTGTCTACAGATGCTTGCATTTAGAGTCCATCAACTAGTTACTCTACCCTTGCGTCCTCCAGAGTCACTTTCAAAACGTTCTGGAAGGTTCTCCTTGGAAGTGGAGGGAGTGAAGTCCCTACATGGTGAGGCTCTGCTGCCCCAGCTGCTGAGCTGAGGCTTCCATGGGTCTCTTCAGGGACACTTGTAGGCTGTGCTGTGTGCTGAGGGGGTAGGGCAAGATGAGGAAATGGTCACAACCCAGAGGTGTCCTTGTTCCAGGGTAACCATTTTTGTCTACCTTGTCACAAAACCTTGTCTGGACCTCATCTGGAAGTCAGATACACTGAATATACTTACCCATGGATAGTCACCACCGTCCTGGGATGAGGGTTTCCTTTACCTTCATTTTACTCTCTCTCTCTCTCTCTCTCTCTCTCTCTCTCTCTCTCTCTCTCCCTCCCTCCCTCCCTCCCTCCCCCCTCCCTCCCTTCCTTCCTTCCTTTTTTCCTTCCTTCTTTCTTTCTTTTTAAATTGAAAATAGATCCTTCTTTCATACAATACATCCTGACCACGGTTTCCCCTCCATCCACTCCTTCACACACACACACCCACGCCCCCACCACCTCCCCTGTCCCCCAGATCCATTTCCCCTCCATTTACTCTTCAGAAAACAGCACTACTCTAAGAGATAACATCCAAACAGGACAAAACAAGATACAATAAGATGAGGCAAAAGCCCTCCTATCAAGGCTGAACAAGGCAACCCAATAGGAGGAAAAGGGTCTCCAGAGCATGCAAAAGAATCAGAGATCCACTTACTCCCACTGTTAGATTGGAGGATTTCTCAAAGGGACCCATCATTCCCCAGGTAGATCTCTCCCAGGTTCTACCATCATTACAGACCTTAAACATGTTTTTCAGAGTCCAGATAACTTGTTCTGTCTTTCAAAGTCCCTTGGTCTGCCTCAGTTTACCTTACCAAACTCCACCTTCCACTACTCACCCCATAGCTTGTGTGGCCACAAGACAAGCATTTCCTGTGATGTTTCGTTTTATAATAACTCACCTCCACAGTCCCAGCAGTGGTCCTTCTGTGAGGCCAGCGAGTGCATGGACTAATCACTTAGAGAGAGAGACAGACAGACAGAGACAGAGGCAGAGGCAGAGAAAGAGAGACAGAGACAGAGAAAGAAAGACAGAGACAGAGAAAGACAGAGACAGGGAGAGAGAGAGAGAGAGAGAGAGAGAGAGAGAGAGAGAGAGAGAGAGTCTGTATGGGTGTGTCTGGGGGGAGTAGCGTATCTAACCCACTGAAGGCCTGTATAGATAAATGCTGACTCTTCCCCAGGGAAGAGAGCAATCTCCCTGCCTGTTAGCCTTAGGAGTGAGACACCAGCTCTTCCCATTTCTACGGCAGCTGCCAATCTTCCCACTTGAACTGGCTTATCAGCTCTTCTGATTTTGAATTCGCCAGCCTCCATCATTGCAGAAGCCGATTCCTTCTACTAAATGTCTTTAACTTGGCATTTATGTTGACGCCCCTGTCAATATCTGTATCTCTTATTGGTTCCATTTTTCTAGAGAGTATTACTCGTACAGTAGGGCTAAATGAAATCACACATGTATGAAACAGCATAGACACACAATGAACCAGCAGCGACTCGCTGGGATGTTTTCTTTACCTTGCAGAGTCTCGGCAGCCAGGTTCTCACGGGTGACTCTGTGGGTGCCATACCCCCCCCCCCCCCATCAGTGTTACTGGGACTTCTCTGAGGGCAGCTCCCTATCCCATTCTTCTCTGTCACCTCCTCACTTTTAGGCTTCAGGGCTTGTGCCTTCAGCAACTGGGTGTGGCTGGGCGGCCTCTAATACAGCATCCTTGGGCAGCCTGTCTTGCTGGCATGCCTCCGCCAACACTCCACTGTGGTACTTGTTGGCATGCCCCCTGTGACGTGACAAAGCCACATGCCACCTGACCTCAGTCCTCTCTGTCCCCAGTTCGGCCTGCCACACACACAGCCTGGTCTGGTGACTTCTGCTTTTATGTGCACAGCATGCTCAGATGCTGGACCATGGTTCCTCTTCGTTCAATGAGCTGTCCCAACAGACCGACAGAATCTCTGCCTCCCTCCTCCCTCCTCGCTGCTCACTGGGCCAGTTCTCAGCATGGCTCATAGATGAACTCAGCAAGTGGGACTGGGCAGAGGGGAAAAGGCAGTGTGGGGAAGTGTGGTGGGGGAAGGGTAGCTGACATTCAGAGGTCACAGGGTAGACATTTGTCTTTCATGGTTTTTGTTTGCCCAGAATATAACCTGCTCTTTTCTGTTTGGGGGGGGATCCTCAGTGGATGGGCCTTACTGGAAGAGGCAGTAAGAGGCAGGCCCCTGTCTCATATGAGAGAGCTGAGGATCCAGCCATCTGTTTCCAGTGTCTTGACCTTCAGGGCCTAGGAATGGAGGCAGGTTTGGTTTGGGTTACCAACTTAGGTTAGTTAGTTAAAGAAAACTCAGGGCATCTTCAGTTTTCTCAGGAGCCTCCAAGAGATAGGAGAGACCCACCTATCAAGCTTATTTCCTCCATTTCAGTCCATGATGTATCCCATCCCCTTGGGACCTCCAAAGTCCTGGTGCTGGGCAGAATCAAAGCAGGTGTATTCTTTTAGCCAGGGCGTCTGTCTGCAGCTGACTTTGTTTCTTTTTCTTTTTGTTTTACAGGAAGGTGTGGGAGAGAACAAAAGGCAATTAGCTGCTTGTCTTTACTGTCTGGGACTGTGTTCACATGCTCAAATGGTCACGAAGGGCTGATTGTAACTGTGGGGTTGGGGAGTTTGGAGAGCAAAACCAGACTAAAGGCAAGTCCAGAAAAGTACTGATTTTTTTTTTCTTTAGAAAAGGAGCAGCAAGTTACAAAACTAAGATTCTCAAACAGGAAAGAACTTTAGAAATAGAATATGAGCTGAAATCAAGCTATGGCCCTACTGTGTGACTAGCACACTCTATAGTACCTTTTTTTTTTTTGGCGAATCAGTACCTGGTGTTTGTCTTGGCATATTGGGTGCCTCACCTCTTACTTATGGTGATTAATTTTAAGCCAATTTAGCCCACCTCTCTCTCTTCTTTGACAGTGATTGGCTGAGATATGGGGTTGTGACGCTAACCTAGCCAATGGGATGTGAAGAGAAGTTTGTTAAGGATTCTAAAAATACTTTCTTCATTCAGAAGGAGGTACCAAATACTTCCTCCTTCAGCCTGAGTGTGATGACCTATCAGCATGAGAAAGGGTTACTTCCTGTTGCGGTTGCCTTTCGGATTGCCAAGGGCCAAGACAGCCCAAAGCTATCTCTCCCAGAGCCTTCTCAAGCTGAAGGCTCATATTAAGCCTTTAGAACCCCAGCAGGATTTCCACTTGCCTAATGCCCTCTTGGACGCTATGAAGATTCTGGATACAGGCTTCCCTGACTTCAGTAAGATTCTGTTTGTTTTCTTCGTATTGATAGGTCATTTTGCTGATACTTTGTGAGCCAGCATTTGAAAACAGTAAACAATGGCCGGGGTGGTACAGATCTCTCTCATTTACTGTAGTATCTTCGCTTTTCTTCACCATAAGGAGGTACCCGAGGCAGGCGACTTCATAATGAAAAAAAAAATTTTTTTTTTTCCATAAAGAAAAGCTTCTTTAGCTTCCAGTTTGAGAGGTTCAGGGCTTGGCTCAGCTGCAGCAAGGGCCCTCCTGGCTGTTGCTTTCTCATGGTAGAGGTTCCAGGGTTGGGCTTGTTCTTACGGCAACCCATTCCGAAAAGAACCCCTGTAAGTCGGGCATGGTGGCACACACCTGAGGTTCCAGGACTGAGGGCGGAAACCGTAGAGGCCCTGCCTTACACGACCAGACTCTGTCAAACAAACAAACAATAAAAAAGGACTTACTTTAATCCCTTCTGAAGGCTGTGACTTTAACGACCTACACCTCTCAGAGGCTCCAGTTCTTAGAGTTTCCACCTCTCCCCGCTGTCACATTGGATATGAAGTCACCAGTGCGTAAGCTGTTGGGGCACAAACCACATCCAAACCCTGTTATCCGGCTTCGAGGGGAGGGCTGCCCTTCGGCCTTCTGCCTCAATACCTGCTGTCTTTGCATGGTTTCCTGTGGGCCTCCCATTATACAGCGTCTTCCGATTTCCATCTTCTTCAGATATGGGGATCTTTCTTGGAGTTTGAAAAAGGAGAAGCTGCCCGGTGGTGGCGGCGGCGGCGGCGGCGGCGGTGGTGGCGCACGCCTTTAATCCCAGCACTCGGGAGCCAGAGCTAGGCAGATCTCTGTGCGTTCAAGGCCAGCCTGGTCTACAGAGCGAGATCTAGGACAGGCACCAAAACTACACAGAGAAACCCTGTCTCAAAAAACCAGAAAAAAAAAAAAAGAAAAGAAAAGAAAGAGGGGAAGCCGTAGATCTTCTCAGCAAACATCCTCTCACACTTCCTCACCTTCCTTCGAGTAATCTAATTTCTTTCAAATACCCACCCCCTCAATTCATAAGTAAAAGACTAGAAACATGATGTAGAGGCCGTAAATTTGCTTCCTTGCCCCTTCACGATTTTCTTAGGTAATTCTCAAGCTTTAACAAGCCCGTTCAAAACCATCCCATCTCACCAGGTGATGGTGGCACACACCTTTAATCCTAGCACATAGGAGGCAGAAGCAGGCAGATCTCTGTGAGTTCGAGGCCAGCCTGGTCATCATAGCTAGTTGTGGGACAGCCAGGGCTACACAGAGAAACCCTGTCTCAAAAAAAACAAAACAAAACAAAACAAAACAAAACAAAACAAAACAAAACAAATAAACCTGTCCCATCTCAGTTTTGCTTTTACAATCCTAATTGCTTTTCCCCTTTGGGAGGGGGGCTCCCAGGCCACATTTGCTAGTACAGCCCACGTTCTAGTTGGATTTGCTGTCCAACAGTTGTAGAAACCAATGTGCTTGGGAAATGGGTTCCAAGGCTTCTGTCTGATGTGTGATCTTGAGCTGAGTGATCTTGGACTAGTCATCCCTCCTGTGAGCCTGATTTCCTTCTCTGTCAGGGAGGGGACAGGACTGGATGGTCCCCCAAGGATCCGACAGCTCTTGGAGACCTCGAAGTTTATTGAAAGAGAAGGCATTCGTAAGATTTATGAGTGGTTATTTTTTAATTATGAAAACAAAACATGTTTGTTGCAAATATTAGAACAACACAAAAGTCTGCAAAGCCGAATTGCCTGTGTCCTTCCTTCCTCCACCAAACCCCAGAGACCATCTTTTGGGGCCTGTGTTTGCCAAGAGCACTTAGTGCATTTGTGTGATGCTGACCTCAGTGACACCCCCACACCCTACCCCCCACCACCCAGTTCACTGGATAATGAAGGGCTGTGCTGAGGAGAAACTGTGTGAGTTTTTACACACACACGGTTCTCTTTTCCTTGGAGGACAATCAGAGACTTCAGTGTTGTTGAAGAATTGCAGAGCTCTGCTGCCTGTGACCTCACTTACGTCTTCATCAGAAAATACAACACAGAAATCCCAGCCTCAGTTTGCAGGGCCACATCTTACGGGCAGCTGGTAGCCAGGGATCCAACCATCCCGTAGCAGCTGCGGTGGGAAGTTCAGGTTCAGAGATTAGGCATTGATTTCAGTGCTCTGTTCTTTCAACCAGCCTAAGTGTTGCCTCCTGATGCTTGCCTATGTTTTTAATCAATTAGAGTTGGGCTCTGTGGCCGAGAAGAGAGACGATGCGTGTTATTGTCGAACAGCAATGAGATGCAGTCTACCACCTTCTGTTGTCGTCTACACCTGCCTTCACAAGGGCAAAAGCAAGGTGTGTGTGTGGGCAAGGGGTGAGGGGGATAGAACTCAGGATGGACTCAGATGTGCCCCTGAAGGATGGCTGGTGCTGAGGAAGGGCGAGTCCTGGGAAAGGTGTGCAAGGGAGGCACAGAGCATGGACTGTTTCTCTCTGTAAGATACAGGGGAGTGAGGAAGAGGGTAAGGGGCTAGGCCTGGGGCGTTCCAATGGGCTAGATAGAGAAGCTGGGTGACTAGACCTGACCTATAGCACAGAATGAGTGATTCAGTCTTCAAAGGGACTGAAGAGCTCATTAGGGACTGAAGAACCAGGGAGCAAAAAATCATAAATCGTTATTACAGTACTGCTCAGTACTACTGTTAGCTCATCCATCCATCTACCCATCCATTCATTCATTCGTTACTAGGTGAACATTGCTTCCAGTTTTCATCTCCCCCCTCCCCTAGGCTGGCCTCAAGCTCCATATGTAGCCGGAGATGACCTTGAGCTTCTGATCTTCTTGCTTCTGCTGGAATTACAAGCATGGATCACCACGCCCAGCTTGAGTGAGGTCAGGAACCAAACTCAGGACTTCCTGCATTCTAGGCGAGTGTTCTGCCAACTGGGCTACATCCTCAGCCCCGCCTCTTGTCTTGAAGGAGAGATTTCAGCTGAGAGACACGGGCAGTTTAAGAAGTTTTCTTAGCAAAGCAAAATACAATAAGGCAAAGGATGGGGGGGGGGGCTGTTGACCTTAAAGGCCTGTGGTTGGCAGACCATTGGGTTCTGCATTGTGGATTTTAAAGGCGTTTTATGAATATTCATGAAATGAGTGACAGCTTTGCAAGGTACCCTGACCTGGTTCACCTCCCAAATCAGGGTAGACCAGATCTTCCTTCTAGGGTACTTCTTCCCATTATTCCCTTGAAAAGCCCACTGGGAGTGGGGGTGGGGTGGGGTGGGCGGGGAGTCAAAACCATAATGCAAATTATCCCCCCCCCCCCCCCCCCCCCCCCCCCCCCCCGGCTGAGGACTGAACCCAGGGCCTTGTGCTTGCTAGGCAAGCGCTCTACCACTGAGTTAAAACCCCAACCCCGCAAATGATTTTATAATGAAGTGCAGACCCTTCTTTAATGCACGTGTGCAGCAACCAAGAAAGCACCCTGAGTTTCTGATACAGTGGGAGGGACATAGATGTTTCAAGTGTGTTTTATCACAAGGGGTGTTCTGATCACCAAGAGTTGCAGCTACGCTGGTACAATGCTTGTCTTCTTGGCTCCCTCCCAACTAGCCCCTTGTCTAACCCAGGAGACCCAGCTACCATGATACAGCCTCGGTGTCCCTTGGTTACCTTATATTTAACTCCTTGCCTACCCAGTCTTACAATCATTCGCTAATTCATTCATCCATACATCCATCAAATGGTACTGAGGCTGTGTTTTGTGTTTGGGTACTGTGCGAGGTCCTGAGGACACAAGACAGATAATGAAATGGTTCTGGGTCTCATGAAAGGGAGGAGGCCAGTGCTGGATTTCAAGATGAGGCCAGGAAGAGGGGTGGGAATAGATGGGGTGGAGCTTGAGGCCCGGGGCTATGAAAGAGGGTGGAGGGAACAGATGTTTACAAGAAAGAACGAACTATGGGATGGGGTTGGAGGGTTGCTGCATCTTCTCGAAATCTGGCCGGGTCTAGGGCAGGGTCAGACCTGTGGGGAATGGAGAAGAGGTGATAGCTGGTTTCTGAGTTTATGATTTAGGGGTCTCAGAATATTGGGGTAGGAACTGGGACCACAGTTGGGGGAGGGGAGATAACTCCAAGGGCCTTAGCTCTGAGTCATAGCCTCACGGTCTCTCATCTCCAGACAGGCACCTGGGAGGGCCAGCTGTCCCTCTGCTCCTATCAGGAACCATTCATTCTCTGTTTTCTTTGTAGCAGTGAATTGAGACAACTGACTCTGAGTACTTTAATTGGGGAGCCTTGGGCTGTTCCTTACAAGGAATGCTGGCTGAAGTGGATGGAAAATTAGAGAATTCCAGGAATGGCAGGACAGAGACAGTGTAAAACATTTCAACCACACTCTGGGAGGATCTGTTCTTTATACGGTCTCACCTCACACTGGGCGCACTGGGCGCTTAGTTTTGTCGTCTATAAAAATGAATGCAATGATGTCATCACACAGGACCCCGTCGAGAATTAAGTTGCCGCCTCCAGCACACCATCCTGAAGCAGGACAGGTGATTGCTAAGCGTCCGTTTCCACCCTCAGCCTCAACCTCAACTGATGAATGGCCCCAGTGGAAAGAGAGTATTCTGGACTGTCTTACCTTGGGGATGTGAGCCCATGAAAGCCCTTGACTTCCCGCACCTACCCATGTGTAATTACCATTGAGATGTGGTAATTAATGACAATTACCGTCAAGTGTGGCCCGAGAGGTCAACAGGTGTATAAAGAGCAGGGAGAACTGAGGCCCCACCACAGCTCTCTGTGTAACAAATATGGGTGGGAAGAGGTGTCACTGGCTTGAAAGAGCCTGGGTGGCCAGAGGACTTAGAAGATGGTTGTGACTCTGCTGCTGTTAGCTACATAATCGTATGACACTATTCGATATCTTTGGGTTTTACTTCCTCACTTAAAGGACTCAGCTAGTGCCAGTCGGCTCTATTTACCACGTAGAGCTCATGCATACACTGGGAAGAGCATACCCTGTGATCTCCAGGTCAAGGAGTTAATAGTGCTTCTGTTTCCTCATTGGTGGAGGGTGGGATATTAACAGCTTCCCCCTCTCCTCCCTCATCTACCCAGCCCCAAATGCTGACCAGACACACTCTTCGATACATACAAAAGCCTTTGACCTCTTACTGTCCTTGCCGTGGAAAATCAGCTGTTTGCAAAAGTCCTTCCACTCTTAAACTTCTAGCACACTCTCGGCCACATGGCCACCTTCTGTTGAGCCAACTGGAGTATGGAGATCAAAGACCTTGGTTTGCCCTGCAGAGGAGTTGGTAATTTTCCCTTTCAGATCTAAGGCCTGTGGTAAGATAAAGATCTCAGCTTCTTCTTCTTCTTTTAAATCTCCTTTGCAGAAAATCCTCAAAATCTTAGAAACTTCTAGAAGCCTTTATTCCATCCTCTTCTCCATTTTTGCAGAGGAAAGCACAAAGGGGAGATGGAGAGCCTTAGAAAGCTTAGCAATCGACTGTCCTTGATCTCCTTGCTGGACCCTGTCTTTGGCCAGGAGGAGCCTGACTGACCGATGTAGAGAGGAATGAGAGGAAGGTTCTTGGGGAGGTTACTCCCATAGTCCAGTATGATATGATGGGGGCCTGTGTGGAGTGGGAAGGGGGTTAGACGTTTAATCCAATGACGATCGTCATAGTAAATTGGTGACTGGATGTGTGAGCGTCAGCAGGAACAGACGACGCCTGCTGTTGGTTGGTGCAGGACAAGGCATGTGTAGGAGGTGAGAGTTTGGAGGGTGGGCAGTGAGCTTTAGGCATGCTTGGGGAAGTAACCGTGGAACAGCCAGAGAAAGGCTTCCGGTGGATAGTGGCTGTGTGGCCTGAGCTCAGAGCGCAGATGGAGCGTGAGGCATGGTGCTCCTTCACCTGCAAGATCTAGAAACTGAACCATGGGAGGGGAGGGTCAGCAGAGGAGAATTCAGGGCAGGGTATAAATAGAGTCACAGATACCTTCCCCAGGAGGGTTATTCCTACTCTCCCAACACCTTTCTCTCAGACCAGCACTGCACACAATGATGTGTGTGTGTGTGTGTGTGTGTGTGTGTGTGTGTGTGTGTGTGTGTGTGTATAGAACAGAGCTAACCACTGAGAGGCTAAGTGGCTTTCTCTGATGCCCTGAATACAGCATTAAAAATTGTCCCCGCTAACCTGCCATCTGACTTCTCTCCAGCTGGTTGGTAATTTCTGTTAAATCCCAAATGACCGTGTGTGAGGTTCCCGGTGGCTTTCAAAGAACACAGGTCCCAGGAACACAAAAGCGCCCGGGAGATTTCTCAGCTCAGGGAGCTTAAGCTTCTTTTTCTTTAATTTTTAAATAACTCATTCCAGATTTAGCAAAAGATCCATTCAGAAGGAGCCTGGCCAGGCAGTGTGAGTTGACAGCTCTGTTTCTGAACAATCCATTACTTATTCAGCACCAGCCACGAAGCCAGCAGGTGCTGAGCTAAACTAAACTTGTAGGAGATGAGGGACAGGGAGAGTGGTGGCAGCCTGCTCTCAGGGTGGTCCCTCCAAAGAGGAAGACAAGAGGGTTGTGGTGAGTGTCTCCTCCCATTTGGTACAAGGGAATTTACGTGTTCCCCAGTGTGCTGGGTATTCCATTAGACCTTTCCATATGTGATGACTTAGTCCTCCCCCGTGACCTGTGGGGCACGGCACATCTCCACTGTACAGATAAGCGAAGGGGACCTTTGCAGGGGGTGGGTGTATTCGAGGGTGGACAGTGAAGAGACTGCCAATGTGACGGCTCCGTGGTATGGTTAAGGTTTATATTGAGGATGCAAGAGAGAGAACAGCCAGAGGCATGTGGAAGAGTCCAGAGCAGAGAGAGAAAGAAGCAGACTGGACATGGCCGGGCCTAGGGAAGCAGGACAGTGGGAGAGAGAAGAGAGAGAGAGAGAGAGAGAGAGAGAGAGAGAGAGAGAGAGAGAGAGAGAGAGAGAGAGAGAATATAAGTCTGAGCGGGAGATGAAGATATATATAGTGAGAATAACTGGGTTATAAGAAGGATGCGTAGCTGTGGAGGGGAAGCCTGTGAACTGGAGGGAGTTGAGGGTAGGGAGGAGATGAGAAGGGCCAGGACGCCAGCATGGACTTTGAAATGTGTAACAGGTACTTGTGATGCTGAGGGAGCCTGGAGGCTGCGTGGGCTTTGATGATTGGCCCCACAGCCCTAGCCAGATGTCCCTTCTGTCAGAGGCAAGGGGTAGATGGGAACCGGTTTCACAAGTTTCTGAGGAGTTCTGGCTTTTATCTAACCACCAGAAATCCTCCTATAGTCCAGGCTGAGCTCATTTCTGACTGTTTGGACAGCCTTTGAGACCCAACAGTGATCAGTTACAAAGGCCGCTGCGCTCAAGCACCTAATTCCGGGTCCAGAGCTCTCTTCTCAGTGACGTATTAGCAGGGCAGGAGGACGGTGTGGTAACTGCTCTTCTCCAAGACTGTCCCAGGGAACTGATTTTGGTATTTACCCCCTCTTGTATCTCCCTTCCATAGGGTATCTGGGCTGGCCCTATGTGGCTATTGTGGAGTAAATGATGCTAGAGATTTCTGAAGCTAGGGCCAGATGCTATATAGCTTGTTCTCTGAGATGCTTAGATGTTGGAGGAAGCCAGTAGCTATGAAAGATGTCTGATTTCTTGGAGACTGACTACCATGCTGTTCTGAAGCCCAAGCTAATCACAAGAAAGAGGGTATAGAGGAAGATGCCCCGTCTCTCTCCAGCTGCTCAAGCTATCCCAGCTGAGGCATAGATCACGTGAGTAAACAGTCCTTTGAGATGACATTCCCAGTAGTGTCTCCACCTCAGCTGTTTTCTGATGGTAACTGTGAGAGAGGCATCGTGGAACATCTACCCATCAAGGCCCAGGTGACCCTCAGGATTGTGGGAAATAATCTTTGCTGTCCACAACCAGGTTTTAGAGTAACTCATTTTTCAGTGACTTAGTGATATGTCAAAACTCAACCAATACAACTAATTTTCAGGATTATTTTACCCATAATAGACATTATGACCGGTTTGTATTGGCCATTTATTATGTGTCAGAGACTGTGCTAAATATTCTTTTTAAAGGGGATTTTGAAAGCTTTAAAGTATGCGTGTGTGTGTGTGTGTGTGTGTGTGTGTGTATGTGTGTGTGTGTGCGTGCATGCGTGCGTGCGTGCGTGTGTGTGTGTGTGTGTGTGTGTGTGTGTGTGTGTGTGTGTGCACATGAGTACAGGTACCTGCAAAGGCCAGAAGAGCGTGTGAGATCCACTGGAGTTACAGGTGGCTGTGTGCCACCTGATGTGGGTGCTGGGAACCAAACTCCAGTCTGCTGCAGGAGGACCAGGTGTTTTCAACCACTGAACATCTTTCCGGGTCCCACACTAAGTATTCTGGTTTATTATTCCACTTGATTTCCAGAGAAGCCTTATGAAACTATGCCTATTCTTTGGCATTGACATATAATGTTATAATTCTACCTAGTTATGGAGTAAAGTATGACAGTTTGATATATATATATCTATATATACATATATGTATATATAGATATATATCATGTATATAAATGGTGATATTTTATTTGTGCTTTGATAAATAAAGTTTGCCTGGAGATCAGGAGGAAAAGGCCAGCCATTTTAAGTAAACAAAGTCAGGCAGCACACGCCCTTAATCCGATGACTTAGCAGGCAGGGTCTCTGTGTGTTCAAGGCCACACTAGGGAACAGAGCCAAGCGTGGTAACACACGCCTTTAATCCCAGTACTAACCATAGAGACCTGGAGGTCTGTACAGATAGGCAGTGACAAGGAAGTGAGGTAGCTGGGCTAAGAGCCAATGAGAGGGCAGAAAAGCAAGGCATATAAAGGTGTGGGTAGACAGGAAGCAGCTCGCACTTGGAAGCTACAGAGTTGGTGGGGTAAGGTTGGCTAGTGGCTTTTCCTATTTCCCTGATCTCTAAGGCTTTCACCCCTATATTTGGCTCTGTGTTTTTTATTTAATAAGACCATTTAGAAATTCATCTACATATATATGTATATATACATATATATTTATGTATATATATATGGTATAACATTAGAAAATCGGGATAATTAGTACACCTATCACTTCAAACATTTACTACTTATTTGTGCTGGGAGCATTTAGAATCCTCTCTTATAGCTACTTGGAAACATATGATAAGTTGCTGTGGTCTCTAGTCATCTAGTTAAGAGACACTAGAACTCAATGCCCCTCGTTAACTGTATGTTTGTCTTCATTAACCAATGCTTCCCTAACCTCTGTCTCACACCCCCTTCCCAGTCTTTAGCCGTCTTTGAGTTTTGACCTGTCATCTTACTTTTGTGGCTCCCATGTAGCAGTAAGATCTCAAGGTATCTGTCTTTCTGTGCTCAGCTTATTTTACTTAACGTGACATCCTCCAGTTCCAACCACAATACTAACAATGGCAGGATTTCATTCTTTTTCCTAAGCCTATCTTACTGTGTGTATAGTTATCCAGTAAACTTGCTTCACATACTAGGAAGGTCCAGGGATGTTCTATATTAAGCCCAAGGTCACAGACTAGTAAGTGGAAAGGTCAAGCTTTAAAATCCCCCACACGCAAACTCATACGTAGCGCCATTGCATTTAAAGCTTCTCGATAGGGGGCAGGCAACTCTCAGGTGACCAGACTGATGGGTGGACTCAGATCTAGGGACTGGCCTCGGAAAGCCTCACCAAGCTTAGAGGGCTTGTCCTGGGAGGGGTAAAGCAGCTGTGGAGACCTACAGCTCTGGCTTTGTGGATTCATTCACACGGAGAAACAAATAGATGTGACCTTTTCCTTTTGAAATGTTTTTTCAAGGGAAGCCAGTGCTGCCAGCAGGGTCTAGATTGATGGCATCGGATGCCGAGACACGGAGCCCTCTACCTTCTGTCACTTCGCTTGGCACGTCGGATCAGATTAGCCAGAACCACAGCCAGGCTCAGAAATGTCACATCGATTGCTTACTCAGAACACGTTCCCCCGGCCTTTCCTCCCATCTAGTCTGTGGGACGTGAGGGCCTGCTGTAGACTTCATGTCTGCAGGGCAAAGGGAGCAGAAAAAGGAGACCTGAGTCACAAATCAGAAGGCACAGATAAGGGAAGGTGCAAGGTTAAGTCTCAGATGAGGACCCGTAGGCTGACATTTGGGGTTGCTCCCTCTCCCTCTGGGTGGGCCTTGGGGAGCCCCAGGCGAACAAACACGCAGAGACTGTGTCACTGTGTAGCATGGCCCCTGCAGGACTGCTTGAGAACAGAGTGCTGGGCAGGGCTGAGTTCTGTGACTCCAGATCAGGGCCTCTGTGTGCAAAGATGCTTTCCATCAGCCCCCACCTCATCTCCTACACATCTACAGCCCCTCAGAAGCGTCGGCCATTTGAGGGCAGGTGAGCATGGATGCCACCTAGAAAACAGCATGAGGCGGTGTTGAAAAACACTAGATGACGCCTGTTACAAGAAGAATCAGCTTGGTGGGCCAGATCCTATACCCTCAGGCTCCCAGGGCCTCCATCCTGCACCCAGATTCTCTTCTCATCGGAACCCTGTCTGCTCCTCAGAGCCTGCCTGGTCTTCCCCTCCACTGGGGAAGCCCACTTTCCACCTTGGGCATTTTGATCCCAAGTCTCCCTTTGAATTTTGCTTACTTTTTGTTTTTTGTACCCACACACCACATGTATTATTACATTGACTTACTTAGTCTTCCGTACATTGATTCTTTTATTGTCCTTAAATTGACTGATTTTTGAAAGAGAAACAGTCTGATGCAAACCAGAACCATTTGCTATAAATAGGAGTCACCTGTATGAACAAATACAGTGTTGGCTGCCAAGGACCTGGGCTTGCAACTTACTCTGTGTTTATGGAAGGGAATATTGCCATCTGTGAAAGATACACTAATGAGACACTCTTCTACAGGGAACCAAGGTAGTCCAGCAGAGTGGCATTGGCTGCTGACTCTTCCATTAATGCTAATTAATTAATGAATTAATGTTCGGGCTGAAGATCTCTTCTCCCACCCATGGCTTAATTTTCATGTTTTGATAATCATGGACATTCCAAATTTAGCCTTGCCTCCAAATTTAGGTTTTCTTGCTGTTCTGTGGACATCGCTGAGTTATTTTTCCAAATATTTATAGCAACAGGGTCCTATTTTATAGTAAGCAGACAACACTCACGGTGATCTGTCTGTCATCTTGATGTCCTTAGTCCCAGTTCTAGCCTGCCAGAGGTCTCAGGCCCTGTGAGTCAGCAACCGTGCTCTTCGTGGTGTGCGTGCAGGATGAGCGAGCCGCAGGATGAGCGAGCTGCAGGGTGAGTGAGCCGCAGGGTGAGCGAGCCGCAGGATGAGTGAGCTGCAGGAGATGAGCGAGCCGTAGGGTGAGCGAGCCACAGGGTGAGCGAGCCGCAGGATGAGCGAGCCTCAGGATGAGTGAGCCGCAGGATGAGTGAGCCGCAGGAGATGAGTAAGCCGCAGGATGAGTGAGCTGCAGGAGATGAGTGAGCTGCAGGAGATGAGTGAGCCGCAGGATGAGCGAGCCTCAGGATGAGCGAGCCGCAGGATGAGCGAGCCTCAGGATGAGTGAGCCGCAGGATGAGTGAGCTGCAGATGAGTGAGCTGCAGGATGAGTGAGCTGCAGGAGATGAGTGAGCTGCAGGATGAGTGAGCTGCAGGAGATGAGTGAGCTGCAGGAGATGAGTGAGCTGCAGGTTTGCACGCAGTATCTTCTGTGCTGCCTGCTGAACACTCAGGTTTGTCCTGCTGAATGGGATTCAGTGCCTTGGGACTGCTTAACAGGCCCGGGCTACTCTGAAGCTGATTTCATAGCACCATACCACACAATACCACCATACCTCATGCTACACACACAAGCCACTTCCTGGCTCAGATCAATCATGCCTTGCAGTGTACAGTTCAACAAATTTTGTACAATGAAAAGAATTTGCAAAATCAAATGCATCGTGCGTGAGGGCTTGTTGTCTGGAGTTGTACACATTAGTGAGAGGAAGCCCTTGAAATCAGTGGACCCACTACATGCATTCATTGCTTCCTCATCCATTCAGCAAACTCTAGCAAAGCACCTACTGTGTGCCAGGCCTTGGGGGGTGGGGGGGTGGATAAGTAAGTTGTGTTTCTACTCTGGAGAGGGTCATCATTCAGAAAGGGTGATAACGTGAGTCCGGGACAATCGTTGCAAACCAAGGCAACCCAGGCACGAGCCAAGTGCAGGGAGAGTTGGAGAACCCTGAGTTCCCACCGAAAGACCTGGAAAAAGTAGCACGAAGCGATGACCTTTGAATGAAGCTTTGAGAACGAGCCAGGCTTGTCAGAGAAAGGGCATTCCAGGCTAACAAACAACCAGGGAACAAGAGCCCGGAGGCTCCTGTCTGTGTTTTCTAAAAGTGATCAATTGCCAGAGCTGGTTACAGTCTAGGATATCTGTGGGGAGGAACAGGAGACGGAGCTAGAGAGAGGTAGTAGACCTGGAAGGGCTTTTGGTGTCTAGCAAAGGGGTGCTGTTGGGGTTCCTTAAAGGGGGAATGTAACAGAGTGGCTAATTCCTGACTCACAGAGTTCTGCAGGGCCTGTGAGTCCCTGGCACAGAAGTTCAGTTTCCCATGATGGAAGAGGCACATGGGAGTGAGCAGAGAGCAGTGCTCAGGGATTCTAGGGAGGTGCTCGCACGGGGAGCAGTCCCCCAGGAGAGATGGACCCCTTTTGACAGTCTGTATTCACTTTTCTTTGGGTTTCAGAAATGATGATTGGTGTTTCAGCAGCCCTTTTGAGCCCCAAAGCTGCCTTGAGGATGAAAGTCAGGCATGGGGATGGCCGAAGAAAAAGAGCAGACAGCAACCTTGTATGTCATCTCTTCTGCATGAAAAATATACAAGGTGTGTGTGTATGTGTGTGTGTGTGTGTGTGTGTGTGTGTGTGTGTGTGTGTGCACGTGCGCACACGCGCCCACATGTGATTGTGTGTGTATACACGTGTGCATATGCAGGTGTGTGTGCAATTGAGAACGGGGACTAATGACTGATGTCTTCCTCACTTTTCACCTGGATCACACCCATTAGGCTAGCCTGGCTGGCCAGCGAGCGCCAGGGATCTTCCTGTCTCCACCCTCCCAGTACTGAGATCACAGGCTACACTGAGCTTTTAAAATGGATGCTGGAGATTCAAACTCAGGTCTCCGTGCTTGTATGGCAGGCACTTTACTGACTCAGCCATCTCGCCAGCCCCCAGGCCTTTATTTAAATTAGCATTACTTTTGGGGGGTTCTAGGGTGCTCAGCCAAACCTAACAGCAATTCATGAGCGCCTCTTTGACTTCTAGGCCATGGTTGATAACTTTCATATCTGGGTCTCCTTTGTACCTACGAATGTTATTTGTGTGTTGGGTTTTGTTTTGTTCTGTTTCTTGATCTTACTTCTTGATTTCCCTGGTGATTTTGCTGACTCTTGTTTCATTTTTGTTTTTTTTATCAGACAGATGGAATTTCACTGTGCTACCCAGACTCATTTTTAACTCACGGATGGGCTCAGGTGGTCCCCCTGCTTCATCCTTTCCAGTCCAGCGAGGACTGCAGGTGGACCTGGCTTTCTGGTCAATTTCAATGGGATGCCAGACAGTGTATAAAGCAGTGTTATCAAAGGCAGGACCTGCCAGTCGTGTGTAGATTTAAAATTTACAGTGACACAGAATTTAAACTTCAGGCCCCATTTCCCCAAGAGAGCGCTGGGTGTTCAGCTCTAGTTCCCCAAGCCTGAGCTGCTGAGCACAAAAGGGCAGACGGCTCACAGGGCTCATGCCAAGCTCATTGATTCCATTTCCCTCCTCTCTGGGATCTTGGCCTTTCCGGAACCTTCGGTCTTGGTAGCTCTCCAACGACTTTAAGTGGATTTTAAAAGTTCACATTTTACATCATTTTCTAGCTATTGTTGGCAGTACGGTTGGTCTGATGTGATCTAGTTGGTCATAGCTGGGATCTGAAGTCACATTTCTACTGCAGGCAGGTAGAGCAGAGGAAGTCCGGGGGAGTCGTCTAGGGAAAAGCAACTGGAGCTTGAAGGCAGGTCAGGGAGGGAGGGAAGACAGTATGAAGACATCTGGGTGATTTAGGAAAAGAGACCTGGCTGGGTCAGCCTTGGGTGGGACATGAGGTTTGTGTATATTGGGGGGAGGGTGCTCAAGACAGACTCCCAGGCCCTGGCTCTCAGCTGGCTTGGGCCAAAGGGTGGGGGCACCATTTTAACATTATCTAAAGGAGTGGGGCTTGGGGAGAAGTCTTTCTGATGGAAGTGGGTGCAGGTGCACCAAATGCACCACGGACAGTGTCCTGGGCCAGTGGCATTGTCTATGCTAGCTGTGGCTTCTCAGTGGTCTAATACGCGTGCTTCTGCTGTCGAGCAGCTGCGGTCCCCCTCCTCCCCCTCCCTCACCTTCTTTCCACCCTGTTCCTTTTCTGCTTGCTTCAGGACGATTACGAGTGAACCTCTAGAACTCATAATATCCAGTGTCTGATCACAGAGTTTTTCTCCTCGTGGATAAGAGTTAATACAAATCTAGCACATAAACACATCTCATTTCTCAGATACTTGTAGAACTGATAGGAAAGGGCTGGAAGAGAGACAGGGAAGGTGGAACAGGGTGGCTCTTACAAGCAGCTGGTAGTATTGTGTGTACCTATGCTTCACTGAAGCCACGAGAATAGCCGATATTTCCCTGAAATTGTGAAACCCAAGAAAGAAAAGGAGCTTCTAGGTGTGCATTTGTCCTATCATTTCTCCCAGCCTAGGTGTCAGGGTCCCTTTAGTGATGCTGAGACAATTCCAGGGCTCGGTATGACCTCCTTCTAATGTGCCGCTATGCACGCTAAACAGAGGTTCGCTCACATTTACTCTTCAGTTGGGGAGCATCAGGGGCCCTGTCAGGTTTGAGTGACCCTCTCTCCTGGTGGTGGCTTGTCTAACCAAAGAGCAGGCTCTGCTCTCCACCTGGCTTAAAGGCTGCCTGGGGCATAAACCATCTATCCAGGGGCAGGTGCCCTGAGCTGCAGGCCCAGAGGCACAGTCAGACTTAAGGAGTCACTGGGCCAATGTGGCTCTTAAAGTCTACCAGAGGGTGGGAAGGGACCAGAACATTGCCTATAGATCAGTTTCTGCTTTCCTGACCCAAGGCCTGACCATGGAAGACCCTACTTACTGGCATTTGACTTTTCTCTGGGCACAGTGAGGAGTCAGTCAGGAAGTTAAGTGACTTGATTTATTCTTTGGAAATTTGGCTGTGGATAAAAATGGATGGGACGGGAAGAGATGGTGAAAACGGTTTGGATCTGCTATATCAGGAAAGTTCAAGGGAACATCGGCTCTTCTCTTCACTCAGTCGAGTTGGGGGCCATGCAGAGGACAAAGACACAAGAGGATGTGGGCAAGGTCGGGGCGACCTCTGGATGCTCTCCTCTGGGTTAGACTCTCAGGTATAACCACAGGATTAGGGAACAAGATAGTTCTGTTTGGGCCTGTGGTTTCAAGTGTCTGTGGAAGATTTCAGAAGCTGTATAGAGCCAGGCACCAGGCAGAGGTGGTACACACCTTTAATCCCAGCCTTTAATAATCAGGAGGCAGAGGTAAGTGGATCTCTGAGTTCAGGGCCAGCCTGGTCTACAGAGGGAGTTCCAGAACACCCAAGGCTACACAGAGAAACCCTGTCTTGAAAAAATCAAAGGAAGAGGAGGATGGATTGACAGTTAAGGACTAAACGAGAGGTTTGGATTTGGTCTTTGGTCAGAGTGGACTTCTCTGGTCCCCCATGCTTCATACTCCCTAAGGTGGGTGTGGTCTATGTGTGGGTTGATCCTTAGCTTTCACTTCTGTCCATATTTTCTCAAACTGTCTTTTATTAGGCCTCTCCAGAAGGTCATGCTCTGTGGCTGGCCCTGTCTGTGATCCCCAGTCCTCCTGACAATCCATCCAGCTATGCCTGTGGGGAGCTGGAGTTTGGACTGGGGTGTGCCTATCTTTAATTTTTAAAAATGATTATTTTATTATTATTATTTATTTTATAAATTATTTGAGCATTTCATACAATGTATTTTGATGGCATTCATTTCCCATTCCTCACCCAACTTCTCCCACATCCACTCCCACCTTCCAGGCTCCTCCCAACTTCATGTCCACCTATTTATTTATTTATTTTCCCCATGTCCTTTAAAAAATCCTTTAAAGATTTATTATTTTGTGTATGAGCATTTTGCCTGGATGCATGTTCATGCACTGTGTGTGTGCCTGGGCCTGCTGAGGTCAGAAGAGGGCGTCAGGTTCCACTAGGACTACAGTTAACAGCTAACTGTGAGCCCACATGTGGTGCCGGGAATTGAACCCAGGTCCTCTGCAAGAGCAGCAAGTGCTTTTGATGCCCGAGTCATCTCTCCAGTTCCTCCTCCTTCTCCTCCTTCTTCTATTTTTTATTAAATAACTCACCGAGTCCAATTTGTGCTGACTATCTCCTCATGAATGCGGAACTATTCACAGGAATGTGGTTAACCCACCAGGACCCACGTCCTTAAAGAAAACTGGCTCTCTCTCTCTCTCAGAAGCTATCCATTGCCCACAGCTCCTCAGTTAGGGTAGAGGCTCATGACCTCCTGCTCCCTCCATGATAGACTGTTGACTGGCTTGATCTTGTACAGCTCTTGTGCAGACAACCACAGCTGCTGTGAGCACATGAGCTGCATAAGTGCTGTGGTTCTGTCATACACAGAAGACACACTTTGTCTCCAGGTCTCCCCAAACTCTGGCTCTTACAGTCTTTCCACCTCTTTTTTCCCCCAATGGTCCCTGAGCCTTGAAGAGAAGTGTGTGTGTGTGTGTGTGTTGTAGTGGGTAGCCATTCCAGCTTTGGTCTGGAAGTTCCAATCCCCATTGTGGCTTTGGTAACTATCACGCCCACAAGGCGAGGCCAAGGGAGGGCCCTGAAGACCTGAGATCGGGACGTGCTGTGCACTCTTGCTGCTGGGAGCCCGGATGCTAGAGGTGGATGGAAGAGAGTTCTCCAGAGAACATCGCCGGACTACTGTTGTGTCTTTCCCAGAACCCTCAACCTACATATCCCTTCATTTGTAAGTTACGCCATTAAATAAATCTCCTTTTAACTACATGGAGTGGCCTTAATAATTTCACCAATAGCATGTGACAATCTCTGCACTTTGATCCATTTTGGGTTTCTACATTAATCACCACCCACTGCATAAACTTCTCTGATGAGGTCTGAGAGCTGCAGTAATCTATGGGTGGAGAGATACAGGCTACTGTGTCCATTTAGCAGAATGGTTGTAGTTAAGGTTCACCCCTGAGGCCCGTGAGTACCCCAACCACGGGTTCCTGGCCAGGTTCACAGTAATACCTGGCAATCTTGATGTTCTAATGGGAGACCAAGAACTCATAAGTGAAAGAAATTTTTAACTTCTCAAGGCTGACTCAGCCCTTGTGAGAATCATGGAGGAGGGCACACGTGGAAAAGGCATTGTTGGGGGAAGCTCGGTGGTACTGGAAGAATCTTGAGGAATATACTCTAAACTTAAATTGCAGTGCACAGGTAATGGTCCAGTATTCAGCTCCCGTTAACACCTGCTTCACAATGTACTCTGCTTTTCCATTGCCAGCCCCAAGGCCTCTGGACCAGACCTTAGTGCCTTTGTGATCATGATATATGCATGTAGCTTTGTCCTACAGGATGGACTTCCCCACATCTCCTTCCAATGTGCCAGGACATATCCAATGTCCCCTCTTCTCCGCTGCTTCCCTGTGATGCCATGGATGGGTTCTAATCTGGTATAACTGAGGACACAACCTGGCTCCTTTATGTTTGCACACTTGTCTCACCTCTCCGCTGCAAACTCCCCGAAGGCCCCTGTTATTCTTCTAGAGGTGGTACCTCATCCAAGGCCAATCACACAGGTACGTAAGCATTGTTGGAGACACCTGTCAATAAAACCATCACACATGCACTCTAGAAAACTCTTCAGCTTGGCTGTGGAAGACTTGACCTCAGGCCTCATCTCTCTTTTTCATACTTGGCTTCCTGAGTCACCCTGGATGGGGCATTTCTCTAAAGGAAGATAGAATCGATGGTTCAGATCGAACCCTATCTGGATGCTCTGAAATTGACAGGCTCATTCCACTTCCTACAGACTGAGAGTAAAGACCCCAAAGACACAATGCCCTTCTATCCATAGCTTAGAGGCTTGCAGATCTGGCCAGCCTATGTAGCAATGGGAGTCAGGGAAAGCTTCAAGGAAGAGGTGCTGGGGGCAGCGGAGGAGGAGAGTACAGAGGGAGAAAGGGCCAGGAAGACAGACGTTCACAATAGCACACAAGAAATAGTGTATGCGTGGGGCAGGGAGGACTGTCTTAGGTGGGCCAGGCAGCTCTCCGTCCGTCCGAGTTGCTTGTCACATCTTAGCCTTTTCAAAGACTGAAGAGGAAGATTACAAGAAATGAAGATCCTGGTGCCCTCCCTAGCTAGAGGAAAAGGAGACGGGCAGAGCTGGCCCAGGGCCTCAAGGAAGGTATGCCGACCGCACTCTGGGGCTTGTTTTGTGTCCCAAGTTTATTTGCGAGTCATCGGAGGCGGCTTGGCACATCTGTCTTTCCGATTTGCCAGGTGCCGCATGCCGGGTTCTGTGCCCAGAAGGTGTTTCGTAAAGGCTCAGCAGGGAACTAGCAATCAACCAAACAGCCTTGGAGGATTTTGTTCATTGCTCTTGGGGGCAGGGATGAGGGTTGAGTAATTTTCCAAAGCTCTGGAGGCCTGGCGAGGCCGGTGGTGAACCCACAGGGGTAAATTGCTCGCCCCTGTGAAGTGAATGAGCTCTCCCAGGGCACCGAGCGGTTAGAGGGAGAAGTAATTCACTAAATGGTGCCTCCTGCCGCAGACGCGCAGGAGCTTGGAAATTAACTTATCACCGAACATTTCAGAGGAGAATTATTTTATCAGGATGGCTGTAATAGAGACTGGAGCTAGTCTTGTGACTCCCCAGGATGGCAGATCTTGAGAGGCCCAGGCAACATCTGTTCATGTAACCGTGCTTGTGGCAATAAAACTTTGTCTTTTGACTCCGGCGATGCTGCTAGGAAACTGAGAATCAGAAAGTGGAGAGGACCCCAGGGCCATTCAAGGACCCTTGGCTGCCAGAGTGGTGTCTGTGCTCTGCTGACTTCTCACAGCCCTGGGGATGCTCCCCTCCCTGTTAGGAGGTCCCCGGATGTGTCACTGGGTCCTTTTGTGGCACCTAACTCTTCATCTACGTACTTCTCCTCTGTCTGCAGGTCCCACAGGGTCCCTCCAGCCCCTGCTGCATGAACTGTGAACTGGTCCATGGTGTTTCTGAACAATGAGAGCCTGTAAAGAGTCCGAACTCTCTTCCTTTGGAATGAGAATTTGGAAAAGAAGTCAGGAACACAGGCAGGGGAATGTCCTGGTGTCTGCCCAGGGTTATGTGTGACCCCTTAGCTCCGGGTACTTCGTGATAGAGGTGTGTTCAGAGTATGATGGGAACAGTGGCATGGTTATAAAACTCTGTGGAGGGAAGCCCTGAAAACCCTTTGACAGGGCCTGTGAGATGGCCTGTGAGGACAAAGGTGTTTGGTACCAGCCTAACAACCTAAGTTCCATCCCCAGAACCCACATGGTGGAAGAAGAGAACCAACTGTCCATTGACTTCCACATGTGTGCTATCTCACACACATACACATACACATACACATACACACACACACACACACACACACACACACACACACACACAAGCTTGTGTACATGTGTGCACACACACAAATAAGTAAATGAATGTAATCTAAAAAGAATCTGTGACTGACTCAGTAATGGCTAACAAATCGTCCATGTCCTCCGCCTACAGAGGAGGCCTGCTGGAGAGAACCTGTAGAGCAGCGGTTCTCAATCCGTGGGTCATGACGCCTGGGGGTGTCAAATGACCCTTTCACAGGGCTTGCCTAAGATCATCCCCAATGTCAGATATTTAGAGTCATAACAGAAGCAAAATTACAGTGATGAAATAGCAACAAAATAATTTTATGGCTGGGGGGGCGGGTCACCACAACGTAAGGAACTGTAGTAAAGGGTCACAGCCTTAGGAAGGTTGACAACCACTATCAAGGCCAACTAGCCTTGGGTTGGAACTGCCCTTAAAACTCACCCATTGTTGCTGGGTGGTGGTGGTGGTGGTGCACATTTTTAATCCCAGTACTCCAAGGCAGAGCCAGGCGGATCTCTGTGAGTTCAAGGCCAGCCTGGTCTACAGAGCGAGATCCAGGACAGGCACCAAAACTACACGGAGAAACCCTGTCTCCAAAATCTAAAGAAACCCCTCCCCCATGGCTTCCCTCCCCAGCCTCCTGATGTTGCTCTGTGTCTGCGTCCCAGCCTTTCTACGTTTGTGTTCAATCAGCAATTACTATAATCCAGATGTAGCTAGTTTTCCTGCCTGGCCCACAGTCAGGACAAATCTCTCTCACCCACCAGTCCCACAGCCACTCAGACCCAACCAAGTGAACACGGAGACTTATATTGGTTACAAACTGTATGGCCGTGGCAGACTTCTTGATAACTGTTCTTACAGCTTAAATTAATCCATTTCCATTAATCTATACCTTGCCACGTGGCTCGTGGCTTACCGGCATCTTCACACGCTGTTTCTCATCGTGGCGGCTGGCAGTGTCTCTGACTCAGCCTTCCACTTCCCAGCTTTATTCTCCTCCTTGTCCCGCCTATACTTCCTGCCTGGCCAATGGCCAATCAGTGATTTATTTATTGACCAATCAGCAACACACTTGACATACAGACCATCCCACAGCATCCAGACCTTTTGGGTTGCAAGATCCTCGCTCTGTACAGCTGCCCACTATTTCAGGACCCCTGCTCATAGATGAGTCAAAAGCCCGTCTGAGCTCAGGGACCTACCGGAGCACTTTCAGGGACCCTCGTGGAAAATGGCATCCATGACTTTCCTCCGTACAGGTCGCTGTGCAGTGAGTCCCGCTGTCTCTCTCCCCTGTTCTTGCTGAGGGGCTGACTTGAGGAAGTCAGCATGGGTTGGCATGCTGAGACACTGGCTGGGATGCAGGCAGAGGCCAGAAGATCACAGAGGTAGGGCCACAGGTGGAGGCCCAGCCTCTCACCTCAAGTGTTAGGAAGCTGAACTGAGCCTGCTCGTGTTTCCCCAGACATGGTCAGGAGGAAGGAGCTGGGGGGAAGAGCTCAGAGATGGCCCCAGGGAGTAGGGACTCTGCCATCTCTGTCACCCTGGGCCATTTATTCTACTGGGCCCCTCTTTCCTTCTTTCTTTCTTTTTTTTTTTTTTTTTTTTTTTTTTTGGTTTTTGGTTTTTCGAGACAGGGTTTCTCTGTGTAGCTTTGCGCCTGTCCTGGAACTCACTCTGTAGACCAGGCTGGCCTCGAACTCACAGAGATCCGCCTGGCTCTGCCTCCCGACTGCTGGGATTAAAGGCGTGCGCCACCACCGCCCGGCACCCCTCTTTCTGTATCTTTGTTCCATCCACTCACCGTGCTGGGATGGGAACACCAGACAGTGCTGAGGAGACGCTCACTAGGCAGAGCAAGGTATAGGCTCAGGTGAGTGGTGGCTGACTCCAGGGGCCTTCCCAGAGGCGCCTGTGCTCTGGAGCGAGCTCTCCAGGGGTGGGAAAGCCCAGCTTGCCCAACAGGTATTGGCCCCAGTTTCTTTTCTCATTTCCTTTAAGGATCTGGCCTGGCTACTCTATCGGTTCTGGTGACAGGACCCAGCCTTCTGTGCAAGGTCATACGTCCTTCCATGTGGAGAGGAGCGACACCTCTGGTTTCTCCTCTCTGGGGACTAAGGAGCGAGTTTACCTGGTTGTTGGAAAGTAAACACTGGTTGGGCCTTGTGGGTTCTTCTCACTTCCTGTTAGGTGAGCTGGAGGCCCTACTGTCCGATCTTCAGGGGCCCTGTGCCCCTGGCCCAGCCCAGGTGTTTCTATTTCGAGGTTCTGCCGTCAGAAGCTAGTTCTGCAGGAAAAGACCAACCTCCAATCCACCTATCTTTATCTCCACGTGTCTTACTTCTCTCTTTCCTCAGCTGATTCAGAACTCAGGTGGGGA